AACCAAACGAGAAGCACTGAATCACTGGCAAGAAATGCCAGGATTAACACATTCAAAAGACCTAGACCGGGCTTCTCGAACAAATACTCCAATAGACTACTGCTACTGAGTAAAAACAACATATGCATGATGACTAGGGCCCTCACAGGACACTGCAAATTAAACAAGCATATGGCTAAACGAGGCCTATGCACGACAAGTATCTGCAGATTCTGCCAAACTGAAGAGGAAACGCCGCTTCACATCCTATGTGGTTGTAGCCCACTCATGCATAAACGAAATATCTCCTTTGGAAAGTTTACACTTTTTCCCGAGGAGATAAAAACGATCGCTCCTAAGAATATCCTTCAATTCTTGTCCCTGACGGGTCTAGGTAGCGAACTCTGAAAGGGGCGAGCACAATAGATCTATGTAGGTCGCAGTGCTACAGGTGCTGCACATCTGACAATAGCCCAAACAATCCAATAAAAAAAAAAATGGGCTAGACAAATGATATAAACACTTAGATATTTCATTTTGTAAATACACAAATAATATATATAGAAAACACCCAGACCGATACAAAAAATCATACTCATACAAATGTTTGCACTGTGCGAGGAAACGAACCCGCGACCATCGGATGTACAGTGGAAATGTAAACCACTAGACCACCGAGGCCGTCAACAAGACTAACAATTGGACACGGAATGTGGTTGAAATATAATATTCTGCAAACAATCTCCTGTAACAGTTTCAAAAGCACAACAAACAGTTGCCGTAAACATTGAGTAAGTAATTTCATCTTTGACATCACCGTTCCTTTATTTACAAAGATATATTGTTACATTCATAATTTTGTAAGGGTAAATCAATCACACTTTGTTCTTTTATGCAAATTCAACTTACATCACAGAAGACCGAAGAGCTGGCAGCTACCTTGGACAAAGAATTAGTCTAGCTATTCAAAGAGGGAACGCTGCCAGTATCTTCGGAACGTTGCCTAAAGAGACCCCTTTTAATAATATATTTTAGTCATCATATTATATTTTTTTTTCAGCTTTTTAATTTTAGGTTCTTAGTTGTACAATTAGGTTATGTAAATACTAGTAATAAATTTTAAACATTATACAAAAAAAAAAATCAACTTTAATGTCATAGCAATAAGAGAGACATTAGGAAACTTAACATATTCCAGTGTTTAAATAATCGTTTACTATACAAAAGAGAGATAGCAAATATACAAAAACTTTGTATAGCAGATTCTCCCATCTTCGACGTTACATGTCTTATGATTAGTAGCTAATTTAATCCAGTCAGCAAACTCTATTTCAGTAAATGGTTCACCCAAAGTCATGATTTCTTGTCTGTCATCATCAGCCCACTGCAGTCCACTGCTGGACATAAGTCTCTCCCAAGGCACGCCACTGGGCACGATCTTCAGTCCTTCTCATCCAGTTACTACCCGCAACCCTACGTAAGTCGTCGCTCCACCTAGCTGCGGGGCGTCCTACACTACGTTTGCCAATTCGCGGTCTCCACTCTAGAACACGCCTACTCCAGCGAGCATCGGTTCTGCGACAGATATGACCAGCTCACTGCCACTTCAACTTATTGTCTGAGTAGTCCAAAATCTGCAAAACCTGTTCCTTCATCATCGTGTCCTAATGCAGCGAAAGGTTTGGTAACAGCAAGTTCGAAGTCATCTCCCCAATTCATCAGCTTCGATCGACAACCACTCGTGGTATTCTACTTTATCGTCCTCTAAAAATAAGGTGAACAGTTGATGGATTTCCTCACCTTTGGGATTGAAACCAAGTTTTCTAAGCATAAAAGGAATGGCATCTAGATGAATTAAAAATAGGTTATTTTTTATACAATTACGATATATTTAGATACTATCATCTGCTTTTTATATTACATTAGCTGTGTCCGCGGTACACGTGCGTAAAATTTATAGCAATTAGTATTGTAATTCTGATGTATAAATTATATTATTGTAAAGTTTCATTAAAATCCATTCAGTAGTTTGCGTGAAAGAGTAACAAACATCCATGTTTATAATATTTGTAAGATATAATATAATAACATTATTCTCCAATATCTTTTAATTATTGAAAATAAAAAGCCTTTAAAATATAAATATGTATATTATTTATTACATTATCTTTAATTATATAAATAAAAGTATAAAATAAAAAGCAGATCACAGATTAATTAATGTATAACGAGAAACTGACTGAGAAGAACAATTTTACTGTTTTACGAGTTTCTAGAAATTCTACCTTTACTAAAATAACCTTTGTTATATTGAACTATTATACTCGCAGAATAGATTACCCTAACCTTATAAAACCTACCCTTAATATTGTGAAGCATGGCGATGGTATGAATGGCAATCAGTAAGGCTTTATATCTCTTTGTTGTAATGTTTAATAGTTTAAATACAATACATAATTGGAAGCTTTTTGCGTTGTTTTCGGTTGGAGCAATCTTTTTAGAAAAGAAAGAAAAGAAAGAAAAAAAAAAAGAAAAACAAGAAAGAAAAGAAAGAAAGAAACAATCTTTTTACAGTGTTGACGAATTTCCTAGCAGCAAAAATTGTATAATTTCAAACACAATATAAATTGTTACTGAATAAATAAATATCAAATAAATATCAAATATCAAATATCGTAATTTTGTATAAATATCACGTATAAATAATAATATAAGTACAATAGTAGAATGTGAAAATACTTTAAATAAACTTAGCAAAACGTAGACACTTGACTCTAGCTCCACTATATCTGCAATTACATTCCTTAGTACTTATATTGTACTTATTTATAAAACAAGAATATAATTTACTTATTTTGTTTAACCACATGATAAAGGCTATTAAGATATTAAATATATGTGTGAGATAAAATACTGTAGTTTCTTTGTTAACATCTCTCTTTTATATTTTAATGCTTGAAAACACATATATGTAAGTTTTGTACTAATGATAATGTAAAAAAAAAGTAACAGAAAACTTTATTTATCTTTACATAGTATAAAATTAACTCGCTTTTGCCGATTGTTCGCTTAGATCAGTGATTCCCAAAGTGGTCTATATCGACCACCAGGGGTATTTGACAAACTGCAAGGGGTCTACGACAATGGTCATTTTGTTTTTACTTTATGTTTTTAACACTAAACTTTACTACAGTTAAAAATTTACAAAAAATCAATATCAGGTAAGAATGGGAGGTCTACCCAAAACCGAAAAATATGGTAAGGGGTCTACGACACAAAAAAGTTTAGGAACCTCTGGCTTAGATCTTTAAAACTACGGAACGAATTTTAATGCAGTTTTTAGCATAGATTGAGTGATTCAAGAGGAAGGTTTATATGTATAATACATGTACACCCGTGCGAAGCCAGGGTAACTAGTAGTAGATATATAAACTTTATATATTTAAAGTCGGGAATAATCCCTCAATAAATTAATTGATACGTAAATTCAACTCTATCTTAGATTCTAGGCTACGCATAATATGTATATGCTAATATAGTAACGAAAAATATTACATCTTACAATTAGATAATAATTTTTAATTTTTAATAAACATGATATGTTAAATAACGAATAAATAAACTACAATACAATATAGTGTAGATAAACCTATAGGAATTAGAAACACCTTTGTTATTTGGAATTGTTGAATAAAATTACCTCTTCTGTGTTTCTGTTTCAAATAAATAAAATTAATCTGTACATATAAATAAAATTGGAGTGTCTATTTGTAATATTGAAATAACCGTTTTTACTACATGCATATGAACATAAATACGGTACATATGTACAACAAAATATTTTTTTTACAATTTTCGTCTGTCTGTCTGTTTGTTCCGGCTAATCTCTGAAATGGCTATGCCGATTTCGACGGGACTTTTATTGGCGGCAGCTTTTTTTTTTTTCGGACTACTCTAATGCTGTTGGCCGTAGCTGGCCTTTACAGCTTAACCAGACGATATAGGGCGAGTGCAGATGGCACTCCAAACCCGCGGAAGGACTTATGGAGCGGCTGAAGGCCAACTCCCGCCTGACGGATACGACTTTAGTCTGAGGGCACCACTAGGGGTTCGAACCTCGGCTCAGGCCGTCGTAATTTCGATCCCCGTTTGAATTGGACGGGAGATCGATCGGAGGGATTGGCGGTAGCTGATGTAATAGTACTTTTATTTTAGAATTTTTTTCTATTTAACTTTTTGTTAACTTCCACGCGGTTGAAATCGCGGGTAGTAAATAATAAATATGTATAATAATAAAATGATATGTATAATTAAAAAAAATGGTAAAATGAAAAAAAAAATAAACAACATAGTAATAATAAGTTGGTAAGCCGCCACACTGCTTTTTCCCGCCCCCCTTCCTGTGAAACAACCACCGCATGCATCAATTTAAAAACAAGGAGCTCCTTAAATATTATAACAAACTGTATTTGAAATCCCAGACACAGAAAAATTGTATAAAATTAAATAAAATTATGACATGGAAACACCTGAGCGGATCTTCATGAAATTAAGAGCCAACTCGAAAATGTCAGCTTACGAACAAAATTTCAAATTCTGTCCATTCGTGTAGGAGCTATGATAAGGATACACATATTCGGAGATGTCAGACTTAATACATCCCTCTTTCAACGTCAGGGGGCTTTTTCTTTAAATTAATAATAATAATCTCAGGACAATTCACATAGTGTCATCTAGACCCAAGTTAAGCTAGCTAAAGCTTGAGTTATGGGTACTAGATAACTGATATTATCTGACAGATACATAGATTTTTTTATAGATACATACATATTATACATAAAAAACACCCAGACCGATACAAACAATCATAATCATGAATACAAATGTTTGTGCCGTTCGAGGAATCGAACCTGCGACCATCGGACGTAAAGCGGTACATAGATATCTTATATAATATACAATTTTATAAAAAAATTATAACAGATAAATATTAAAACTTATTGTTATTAAATAAATGTATCTCAAGTTTGACTAGCAACATTATCCACTTTGGCATCTTCGTAGCCTTTCACCAGATTCTCTAATATGAATTTTATAGTCAGTTTGTATATATTCTCGATATTAGGCGTGTATCGGTCCCCGAGGGTCGTTTTCGCAGCTTCCAGGAATGGTTTCTCGACTTTCTGTAAAAGAATAATAATATTACGTTATTAGCCATTCCGTACCTTATCTGCCGTTCTACAGTGTAGCTATTGGAAGGGAATTGGAAAAATTGTTGAATTTATTGTACCTGCGATTTTATTGTAACTAGAAAGCATATATATAGATCTTTATCCTATATTATAAATGTGAAAGTAGGTAAAACTACTGAATCGATAATCATGAAATTTTGTACACTTATTCTTGGAGGTATTAGAATGAACTTTTATTAAAAACAAATATTTTTTATATATACATATAAATAAAATGGGAGTGTCTGTTTGTAATATTGAAATAACAGTTTTTTACTACATGTATATGAATATATATACGGTATATATACCAAAATAACATTTTTTATAATTTTTGTCTGTCTGTCTGTCGGTCTATTTGTTCCGGCTAATCTCTGAAATGACTGGAGCGATTTTGACGGGGCTTTTTTTTGGCAGGTAGCTGATGTAATAAGGAATAACTTAGGCTACTTTTATTTTAGAAAAATAAAGTTAAAAACGACGCGGATGAAGTCGCGGGAACAGCTAGTAAAAAATAAAATAAACCATCTACGTTTTGCTATTTAAGAGCCATCCAGTATTGAAGTTATGCGAGCGAAACTGCGGGTAAAAGCTAGTATAGTATAAACCAAAGTCGTTTCTGCTGTCTGTTCGCTTATATCTTTAAATTTACGCAACGGATTTTAATGCTGTTTTTAGCAATAGATAGACTGATTCAAAAGAATGGTTTATACATGTGTAAGCGAGTGTGAACACGGATTGAGTTGCTAATTTAAAAAATGCAATAAAGCATATTAAAAGAACTATTCCAAAATACTTAAATTTAAGTTTATTTAAATAATGAATATTCTATTCTATTATATTAATAATGTACATAAAAATGGCAAACATGCTGGCGGCCTACTTGATGGTAAATGCCCCTTGCCTACAGGGGGGAAAATATTGTTAGTAATGTGGACTAATAACCCTATAGCTAGCAATGTACCATGTCAGGTTGACTACCTCGCGATTCCCCCTGGAAATCATCATGCCAAATTCTTAGTAATTTTGTCAGGATAGGCTAACTGACTTGACCATGAGAATGAAGTTTATTTTATCATCCACGGGCGCTCCGTTAGCGTAAACCGTTAGCGCAGGATTGTTAGGGCAATCCGAAGCTGACCGGGGAGGCATTAGGGTTTGGAGGTGGCGTGTAGTGACTGTTCCCTGCACGCCTAGATGGAGGTCCCTTCGATGGGAACCATGCCGGTGGTCTTGGTGAATGCTTTGCGTATCCCATGGCCACGGCGATTATGTCGAGGAGGAACAGTCGTCAGGTTTTTAGCAGGTAGGAGTCCGGCAGTATCCATTCTGCCCTAAGGGAATGGTTCTCCATGATGGATTTTCCTGACGTGAAAAAAAAAAGGTGGTTCATTCAGGTGGTCTATTCTCAGATTTCTTCTTTGTCCAACCCAAGTTTCGAGTTTATCTGGGGTCTCTCTGCATATTTGCGCAAGTGAACTCTGTTCTGGGTTGGCTGAGTAGTAAGGTGGTCCTAGCCCATCCAACCGCCGCTTGATGGGTGGATTGCCTCTACCTCTAGTCGAGTTTGGTATGTTGAGTACTATCTAAACCACGTAGTCGTCTTCGCGTCTTTATGGGTATTCAAAAGTTTATGGATCTTTATAATGCTAATGCATTATTATGCTTTACAAGAAATTAAAAAACGTCATCTAGTCCCACGCTAAGCAGGGCTTGTGTAATATGAATCGGGCTTCTCGACCAAATACTCCAATAGATTACTGCTATTGAGTAAAAACAACATATGCATGATGACTAGGGCCCTCACAGGACACTGCAAATTGAACAAGCATATGGCTAAGCTAGGCCTATGCACGACAAGTATCTGCAGATTCTGCCAAACTGAAGAGGAAACGCCGCTTCACATCCTATGTGGTTGTAGCCCACTCATGCATAAACGAAATATCTCCTTTGGAAAGTTTACACTCTTTCCCGAGGAGATAAAAACGATCGCTCCTAAGAATATACTTCAATTCTTGTCCCTGACGGGTCTAGGTAGCGAACTCTGAAAAGGGCGAGCACAATAGATCTATGTAGGTCGCAGTGCTACAGGTGCTACACATCTGACAATAGCCCAAACAACCCAATAAAAAAAAATATGAATAGTGATAACTGATATAAATATAAGATTTTTTCGTAAATACATACAGAACATAAGTAGAAAATACCCAGACAAATACAAACAGTCATACTCATGACTACAAATGTTTGCATTGCAATGTTTGCGAGGAATCCAACCCGCGACCTTGGCAAATAAAGCAGATCACCGAAACCGTCCAATGAAATTAAATATTTCTCGTAGAATGTGTTTCATGTCGTCATGTAGAAATTGAAATTGAATTTTCAATTAGTCAAAATGCTATAAGTCTAATTTGCATCGCTTCTATAGCCTTCATAGTCATCATTTGAGACTCTCACTGAAAGTCGGAGGCTTTGCGACTGAAAGCGAAACATAGTACCAAGAATTGCTTTGATGTGTTTTCAATAGCGTTACGTCACAAATGGTATTTCCTCTCAGATTGAAATTTCCCTTTGGCTGGTCGACCTTACCTTACTTAGATATCAATGGTATATATTTTCTCTTATAACATAATACCCTTATGTCTAGTCAGTCGTGCCATGTCGTTTCTTTTCCTATTATCTATAATTTCGATTTCTTCCGCATGGTTATACTTTTTTAGTATCCTTTGTTATTTAGTTTATGGTTATGTCTTTTTATTACGAAATTTGAGCGCGTTTGACCGCAATCTCACCGATAATGATGCGGTCTAAGCTGTTATACGCAAGCTGGAATAGTGCCTATTCACGCTTGACTTGAAAAACTCAAGGGTTTAGTATGCAAGTAGTTGTGTGACACACATACACTCACACAACATATGCATACTACAAGTAACTGATGATCTTTAAGTTTAAGAGAATACTTATTTTGATTCTTTTTTTTTATGTTTTCGGTCAATTCCAATAATTTTAAATTGTAAGAATAGAATAGAATAGAATAGAATAGAAAATCATTTATTCAAATAAACTTACATTGAAGCACTTTTGAATAGTCATGACATTTTTTTTTAATCTACCGCTCATTCTGAATGCTGTCTCATCACAAGAAGAACAAGCAAGAAACTTGTGTGTTGCTTTTTTAAATAATTTATTCTTACTTACAATTTAAGTTTAAGTGTGTGAATACAAACCACCGATTAGCACTAATTCAATGAAATAATAAAATAGAAAAAACATTCAATATACAACAACTGGTTAAACAATTAATAAGTCATAATGATTAGAGCAGACCAGTCCACACAAGCAGCACCCGTTCACGAGTATGACGGATGAGCCAGCCACCACTGCGCCCGACCATATTTTAGGGAGCCCAATGACCCGGCCCGCCACGCCGCCACAAGTCTGGACATTTTAGTAAGCATGACTACTCAAAACACCAGACCACGTCATAGCTACTCACAATTGCCATCTGATGGTTATAGTATTCACATTTCACATAAGAATGCATGCGGCAATCAATACAAAAACCGCTACGCTTTCATATTTCTAAAATAATTAAATCAAGAAAGCAATGAGATAAACAAATTATAACGTTGTATGCTAATAAACTAATTATTTACTTGAAGAGAGTGTTTTACTTGTAAGAGAAGGAACTAAACTTAAAATACAGTTACTACTCCGCTTAGGTACTAGGAAACAATGTAAAATGTAAATATTGGATTAAAAATAATATATGTAACGTCTGTGGTAACTGGACTTCAATTTCCGTTTGACAAAATTGTAATAGATACGATGGTCAATCTATTCTCTCTAATTGAATTTAAAAATAAATGCTACAGGTCTAAAGCAGCTGCCAATAGCCCAAACTTCTCAATAAAGAAATACTGTTCAACGCTTACCACTTGCCATCTGAAAGCTTGTTTACCATTCACAAGTACGACATCAGATAACAAACAAATTGTACATGTAGCTCTTACCCAAAAATTTTCAGATTTGAATCCTGGTACTTGATGATGTGTAGCACCTACATGCCTCACGTACGCGAAGAATGAGTCTACATCACCCAGACCCTTGATGCCTTCGTCCAGGGTATGCATCACTTTATTGGCGTGCTCTGCTAATTCCGTGGACATCACTTGTTCTTCTTTAGTCTTCAATTCGCTGAATTTCTCGAACAAGTTTAGTAGCTCTTGGTTTTCTTCAAATAATCTGAAATGATAGTAGATTTATATTTAATTTATAGTTACTTGAATGAAATGAATTAATGAAAAACTCTTTATTGATCTTCTCATAGAAAACAAACATTTACATACACTGTTATATAAAAATACTACCTGATTGCGCGACTTCGCCTGCATCACGCTTATCATTATATATCGCCCTATTTGTATAATATCTTTTTAAATTATAGCCTATGTGTTATTCTGGAATATAAGCTATGTTACTGTAAAGTTTCATCAAAATATGGTCTGTAGTTTTTGCGTGAAAGAGTAACAAACACCCATCTATACTCACAAACTTACGTAATTATAATATTAGTATGTAATATTATGTTATCTGTGATATTAGTAAGATATATTGTTTTTATTTATAATATACTTTTTTTTATTAATTTAATCATTTTTTTATGCATAGTTTCAAAAAAACATTAGCATTCCTTTTTACTTTTCTATACAAACTATAAATGTGCAATATTTCATACATTATTTTTTGCATCACGTCTTACGTGATGGTAAAACTTTGTACCCCTTTTTGCGAAAACTCCGCTGATGAAGAAGTATGAAGTTTCAAACAGTTTATATAGAGAAGAAGTGCAGAATGTTAATATTTTTTTTTAAATATATGCTTAAAAAATTCATTATATTAATAAAAAAATATTACATACACTAACTACCCATGTATTTGACTCAAACACGCATATATAATTATAAACAATTATATATAAACACTTTTGTTTATTCTTAAAATCTGTAGTCAAATTGCGAATAGACTAATATTGTTTGTCATAATATTATTTGTCTATAGTCTTACTGAATGTTACATTAATTATAATTGAATTTTGACCCTTTGGTGACCACTAGAATGTATAAATATACAAGAATGGGAAAAACAAAGAGGCATCAATAGCGTTATCACGGAAAAGCGATTTTATCCCGGTTAAAAATGACCTCATTTGATCATATCAAGCGTTAAGTGGACTATGAAGTTATCTTGGTATCTTTAATTATTTCCTCGTGAATTAAAGTCATGATATGTTACATACATAACATTGTAATTACTTGAATATTACGTCAAAACCAACAACACTGGCTCACAAGAGAGTCATTAAATCAGTTTCAATATATTCACATTAAAATGGGGTGTAACCACCCTCCGCCCTCTATCTCTCGGGCGGTAATAAACAGATTATACATAATAGTAAATGTTAATATTCATAGTATTAAAATCGCGCATACAGCTATGACGCGCTCGTTATCTTAATCCCCCTCCGATCGATCCCCCGTCCAATTCAAACGGGGATCGATATTACGACGGTCTGAGCCGAGGTTCGAACCCCTAGCGGAGCCATCAGACTAAAGTCGTATCCGTCAGGCAGGAGTTGGCTTTCAGCCGCTCCATAAGTCCTTACGCGGGTTTGGATCTGCACTCGCCCCCTAACGTCCGGTGAAGCTGTAAAGGCCAGCAGCGGCCAACAGCATTAGATTAGTCCTGAAAAAAAAATCGTTATCCTATTGCAGCAGCGCCGTGCAATATTTTGCATCTGTGGCGCATTACGTTTGCGCGGGAACAAGAGAATTACAAAAATGGCTTCTTCTGCAGACATATTGATTAATTGTTGTGCTCATCATTATTAACTATTTTATACTGTTATACATTTAACTTTTATTTTAATATACTATTTTTATATACAAAAAACTAAACGAATATAAATACAGCTCCTAGATACATACCTAACAGTAAATAATAAGCGACTGATATAACGAGTAATACAGCAAGGTAAGTATCTAGTAAGTTATCTCATTTGTACTTCATACCCTCCGTCCGCTGTGAGGGTTAACGACCCCTTACTGTCTAGTCTTTGTGCATTACCTAAGTATTATACAGTTTCATAAATATTGTGCCATACATTTTATGAGAGCGTGGGAATCTACACCTTATTTTCTTTACATTTAATAAAATAAATTAATTCAAAACTCTTTATAGTTCTTCTCATACACAATACTTAACGGAATAGAATTTTTTTATTCAAATAAACTTAATTTAAGCATATTTGAATAGTTCTAGTTATATTTTTTTTTAATTTACTGCTCTTTTGGAAATAACAATGAGCAAGATCCAGGAGATTTAGGATTAGGATGGATTAGATTTGTGTCTGATAGAGCTGTAAATAATAATAATAATAAAATCAATTAACACATTATTATCTGTTGTTTATTTATTTATATATTTAATATTTTTTTTTGTTTACATATAGCAAAGTCGTAAATTTGTGTTGAAGCAGAAACTATCTGCTTATGAGTTAAGGTATCGCGTTTTAACAGCTAGAGATATGATGAAATTTTTAGAGAAAATGTTATTGGATGCTTGTGAGATGTGGACTTTAACTCAAAAGAATAGGGACAAACTGGAAGCGTTAGAGAAGTTTGGTAACAAACATCGCGACACGAGAATTTTATATATTTAGTAATATATAAAATTCTTGTGTCGCGCTGACCCTGCAAACGTTCTTTTGACATATAAATTAAAATCGCTAGTAAAACAAGGGGTTGGTGATAGAAGGGTGAAAATTTTGGGTTGTATATGGTTTAATGCCAAATCATAAACAAAAAAACTAAAATTATATTACAAACGATATAAAAATATGCATATAAAATTTCATAAAAATCCTTCAAGCCGTTTAGGAGGAGTATGGTAATTAACATTGTGACACGAGAATTTTATATATAAGTTACTTTAATAACAAAATATTGTAACATTTACGTCATATCGCTATTTGGTAGAAACAATGGAGGTTTACACTGATGAAAATCTGCTAATGACGTTAGGAATTTGCACCCCATCGTTATCATCGACATCGCTGCCGAATCATCTCTGTAAATCTGTACAGGATTATGTATGCGAGGAATGGGAAGCTTCTCAAAGGGAGTCTAGCATCATATAGGTTCATATCTGATAGTAGGAATTCGTTTAATTCTGTTACATACATACCTATGTATAGAAATATCGGGAAATATCGTGAATTCAACAAAAATAAAACGTGGTAAGATCCCGTGATTTATTAATTATACTTATCCGTTGAGTAGTTTTTGTTTCTATAACTAACATACAGACAGACAAACATAAAAATTACTGATTGCATTTTTGGCATCAGTATCGATAACTAATCACCCTTTGATATTTATACAGATTTATTATACGTATAGATAAACACCGCAATATTCCTCCAACAAAAAGCGCAAGCACCTAATATTTTCGTATGACGTAGCACATTTCATTGTCTCTATGTTACACTGGTCTGTTGTTAGCGTATATCGAAACTGATATGAATTCTTGTGGGTTTTTATTTTAATAACCGACAAGCAATATCCGAAAACTTATTATTTTTATTACGTATTAACTACAGCATGATTTATTGTTATACTAGCTGTGCCCGCGGTTTCATCCGTGTAAAATTATCCTATATGTTATTCTGACGTATAAGCTATATTACTGTAAAGTTTCATTAAAATCCGTTCAGTAGTTTTTGCGTGAACGAGTAACAAACATTCATCCATACTCACAAACTCTCCTCCGATCGATCCTCCATCATGTTACGACGGCCTGAGCCGAGGTTCCCTCAGATTAAAGTCGTATCCGTCAGACGGGAGTTGCCCTTCAGCCGCTCCATAAGTCCTTCCTTTGGTTTGGAGTGCCATCTGCACTCGCCCTCTATCATCCGGCGAAGCTGTAAAGGCCAGCTGCGGCCAACAGCATTAGAGTAGACCGAAAAATATATTAAAAAAAACTCAGAAACTTTCCCGTTTATAACATTAATAAGTTTAACCAACGAGGGACCACGGAGTACAAATCATAAACAAAAACTTTATATATTTGTACACTAACATAATCTGTTATGCAGCAGATTTTTTTACTTTGTCTTATATGAATATAAAACTAGTTACCTGCCCCGGCTTCCCACAGATGTACATGTATTATATATGTATAAACCTTCCTCTTGAATCACTCTATCTATTGCTAAAAACTTCCATTTGTATTTTTTAAGGATATAACAATATGTATATAATATATAAGACGTTCCTATCTGAGGCAGAAAATTTTCAATAGTGTTATTTCGTACCCTTATTTCGTTCGTAACATATAAGAAATATCGTCGAGTTTTTAATCTTTTATTTCGTAAGCGGTTGAGAACAATATCCGAGGGCTTATTTATCCATGAAAGGGAATTTTTCCGATAAAGCGTATAAAGGAGAGGCATCCGTAGAGAAATGGGGGAAATTAATTTTATAAAGCGTTAGACTCTACAGTAATAAATAGTCGTAAATAAACTAGCTGACCCGGCAAATGTTTTGCTATATCAATTAATATTGCTATTAAAACTAGAGGTTGATGGTAGAATAGGGTTGTAGGATACAGGCCATTTATTTGGTCTATGACTTATTTTATAAGCTTTATATTTAGAATACCAAAATTCTATTCTAAATTGTCACTACTTTCTATTGTTCCTTTTCGGTTTCCCTTCCTGGCCCTAGTTAGTAGTGTTTCTTTGTAATATAATATTAATATACAATGTATATATATATATATTCCCTGGTCCCTGGTTGTTTTTTTTTTGGCACTCCGAACCCGCGGAAGGACTTATGGAGGGGACGGGGGATCGATCAGAGGGGTCATTACATAGTATAAAACAAAGTCGCTATCGCTGTCTGTCCGTCTCTATGTATGCTTAAAAACTACGCAACGGATTTTGAAGCGGTTTATTTTAAGTTTAGATAGAGTGATTCAAGAGGAAGGTTTATCCTAACTAATATTATAAATGCGAAAGTAACTCTGTCTGTCTGTCTGTCTGTCTGTCTCGCTTTCACGCCAAAACTACTGAACCGATTTAAATGAAATTTAGTACGCAGATAGTCTAGACGCAGAGGAAGGACATAGGCTACTTTTTAATGCGTAAAAAGGGTTGTAAGGGGTTCAAAATGGAAATACAAGGT